TGTGACACTATTAGGATGACATTGCATGTGACACTATTAGGATGGCATGGCCTGTGACACTATTAGGATGACATTGCCTGTGACACACATAAGGATGGCATTGCCTGTGACACCATAAGGATGGCATGGCCTGTGACACCATTAGGATGACATTGCCTGTGACACCATTAGGATAGCATTGCCTGTGACACACATTAGCCATGGCCATGCTTATCTCATTGCTGGCACTGAGGGTGGTCACTGCCATGGTTCGTTGCGTCCTCAGTGGTTCTTTTACGTCCCCAAATTGGAGACGTGCCTGCCAATTAACGTGGTCATCCGAGCCACGAGGGTTTCACTGTCCCCAATGTAGGTAGCCAAGGTTTTAAGACCTTGGATTGCGTTTGACACCAGCAAAGCTTGTGTTTTTAACTCCAGTTTAGAATATTTTACATCAACATCATGGCGGTATATAAACCAATAGAGACTTTTTTAAGAATTTGTGACCGACCATATTGGATGATTTGTGCCCTAAAGGTTGGTTGATGGCATGTCCCAACAGGACTGCTTTGTCACTCTGAAAACATTACTGCCCTCACTCGTCATATGTATCTCTATAAACGTGATGTAATTTTTCCGCTTGTACTATTCCAACTTTTCTTTTATATCAAGCACATCCATCATGCAGCTTTAATACTTTTAATAATTATACTAATTTCGTGACAATATTGATAAACAATATATATACGACTGATATCATAAACGATCCTCCAGCGCTATGAGAACTAATATAACTAAGTACGTCACCATAGCTCACCTGGTCTTGCCAGATGACACTTTTAGAATTCGGTCCATTTTGTTGCGTAAGTCACCAGCAGCACAGCTTGTTTTTTCAACTCCAACTCTAACTACATTTTTGAAAAATTTATCAGCATGGTAATAAGAAATAAAATAAGAAATTATCATAATTTTTGGCAGTTTTCCTTCTTTAATTATTTTCTTTTGGTTTCACTTAGCACCCCAGGTTCTTTTTTTCTTTTTTTTCCGTCTTGAACGAGGGGCACTATAATATCAAATGAGTGCAATGGCAGATACAGGAATATTCTAGACGTGAGAGCTATATTCACCTAAGATACAAAAAACTAAAACACCGGATATACTTATAGAATTAAATAACTCACAGCTTGTTGAATGACTTCCTATGAGATGTCCATTAATTCTCACTTGTTGTGATGGTTAACAGGTACTTAATAAGCAAAGCCGGGAGGTTTTTTATTTCTATCGTATGTAGGAACAATATCTCTTGACTAACTTAGCCACCTTGTCTGGAGCAAGAAAAATAAAGTATACCGTATCTGCTGTGAAATCCATTTTCCGTGCACCGAGTCTTGTATCTCGGCCTTAAGTTACTTTTAGTTCTGTTTCAAAATTTCTTATTTTTTATTTTCTTTTTTCTTTTATTCTTTTCTTCACACATTTAATTTGGTCACATATCTTATCAAGCTTTGGCACAATCTCTGGGTAACCCTGAAACAACCTCTGGGATGATGTAAGTCAGGGCAAGGCTAACTCATAGATCAAACCCTGAATTAACCTCTGGGATGATCTAAGTCAGGGCAAGGCTAACTCTAAGATCGATCCCTTAAACAACCTCTGAGCTGTCTTCTCGTCTTTCCTTTACGTTGTCTGCATCAGTTTTCTTTTTATTAACACACATCTGCTTTTGTTTTACTCTCTCCCAAAACAACAACAACGATCTATAGATTGACAACAGGACTTCGTCATTATTCCACAGGAACCTCTTGATAGGTCTTAGCTCTTCCTTTTTTTTTCTTCAATAGTATTTAATCCCAAAATTTTTGAATGAGCCCTAAAAAGTCTTTTTAGCGTATATTAGCGTGGCAAACGACGCATATTAAAAGCTGGTCATTGCTGGAGACTGAAGACTGGTCATTGCTGGAGACTGAAGACTGGTCATTGCTGGAGGCTGTTGAATTAGACGTGCTGATTGGTGGAGAAGAGTAGTATTACACCAACCGTGGCACCACTAGAAAGGTAGCCAATCGATGTAAAGTGAATCCTGGAGCCAATCAGAGAGTAGAATGACATGTATTTTCACCAATCAGCAAATCGCAAGGTTTTTTCTCCACATGGTGTTGTTAACATATTGATTTGTTTGTCAGATATATAATCCGAACATGGTTTAATTTCTCGCTTGCTCCTGATTGGCTTGGAATATTCCAGTATTTGTGAAAAACTAGCTTGGGCTTCCTGTGCATGTTGCTCGCTAACACAGGTAACCCAATCTAACCAATCAGTTTGCTTGTTCACACAGTACTTAAAAAGGACATGAGTGACTTGCCTCCCAGACCACAAATTTTGCGGGCAGCACCATGATACAAGCCTATGTCAAGAGGGGGCAAGTCCACAAGGCAATATTTAAAGCATTTTCTAACTATTTACTGTGACTTACCATTAGAACATTAATTCTGGAAGTGCATTAAAACCCATTAATAATTAATAATAAAGAAATAATAATAAATTAATAAAAATGAAACAGCCGCCATGTTGGTTGATCTAACAAGAGAAGCTAATGAGGAATGCTTTGCCGGAAAAGTCAACCAAGATGGCGGCTATGACGTAACATGAGGTGGTGCCCCGGCGAATTTAATCTGCTTCTGGTTTCTGTAAAGCTTTTTTAATGGGAGCGGGTTATCAACTCTCAGCCAAACCGCCCCAACCTGGAGGACCAGGGGGATGACGCAACATCCACCCTAATAATTTATTGTAATTTAATCGTTTTAATAGCGAATCTTGAAACGTAAGTGTCCCCAATTAGTGCAAGAGCTCTAGAATAACAAGACACTTCAATAAACGAGATTTATATTTATTCTAAAACGTTAAAAATTAATTAATARATATATGAGAAACCAAACGCCCTCGAAGAACTGCCGTAGCTCGTCGTAGCTGGCGACTACGGTGACTTAAATGTCTTAAATKATCCAGATCGACAATAAAAAGCGCAAAACATACAACACAAACAAACAGACATGTTTATTAACCAAATGTAGCTAGTGTTATTAAATCGCAACGAAAATTGAATCACGATATTTACATAACATTTTTTCTGAATTTGTGCGCGGCATTCTATATTTAAGATCTTACGAGTAAAGAATAGTTTACCTAGCTTCATGCGGACAACAGAAATGAAATTTCCTCCGGAACTGACAATTGGTACTGATCGATTATCTTCGACTCTGATCTTGAAAGACTATGTCGTCAATTATTTGTAATTATAAAGATAGGTCCGGGAGATTCCAGTTGCTATCGCAACGTTATACTTTCAGGAAAATTTGGGGATTTCTTTTGGGGGAAGAAAAGTAAAGTTAGCGCTAGCATTTTTATGTTCGAACGTGTCTTTGATCGTAATTAGACTGCTTTATTTACTCGTCTTTTTCAATATAGTCGTATGAAATATTAAAGATGATTAATGCATGCGCGCTGTAGTATTTGAATATATATAGCGGCATTATTTATCCCATGCCAAGAAAATTTTTCATATTTTGGCTGGGGTGTTCCGAGTACACTGCGTCGATTATGAAGTTTATTGGTAAGCTTTCCTTGTTCTATATAACTCAGGCATAAACCTATTTACGCAGATTTTGTGGGTTATTCACTCCAAGGCGAAACTAGTTTATGAGCCGACCACGTAATTATCATGTTTATGTTCAGTGTTTGTGGAAGAAGAATTCAGACATTTTTAACAGCTCTAGATGTTGCTATAGATGTTACATTTAGTTTTGAAATTATCTATCCTGTATTTCTTCTATCCTATGATTCAGGGCGGCGTAGCGGGTATTATACACTCGCCTCTCCAGCTTCTGGGGTCTAGGATTTGATTTCTGGAGTCCGGTTATCATATGTGAATAGCCGTTAAGTCTCTCCCTTGATTCGAGTGTTTTTCTCCAGGATCTTTGGTTTGCCTCCGCATCGATCTCAACACTCAATTCCAATTCGATCTGTGAATTAGCCCTGCCCTGACTAAGATTAACCCAGAGGTTGCTTCAGGATTTGATCTGTGAATCAGCTGTGCCCTGACTTAGATCAGCCCAGAGGTTGTTTCAGGGTTCGATCTGTGAGTTAGCCATGCCCTGACTTAGATCAGCCCAGAGGTTGTTTCAGGGTTNATCTGTGAGTTAGCCATGCCCTGACTTAGATCAGCCCAGAGGTTGTTTCAGGGTTAGATCTGTGAGTTAGCCATGCCCTGAATTGGATCAGCCCAGAATTTGTTTCAGGGTTCGATCTGTGAGCTAGCCCTGCCGTGACTTAGATCAGCACAGAGGTTGTTTCAGCCTTTTGATCTGTGAGTTATGTTAGCCAATCCCTGACTTAGATCACCCCAGAGGTTGTTTCAGGGTTAGATCTGTGAGTTAGCCATGCCCTGACTTAGACCAACCTTAAAGTAGCCCTGTAGATGAAAACTAGCCGCACTTTAATTTAACCAATTATTACTCCTTCTTCCTTTGTATTTGTGCCTAAATTGATTCTCAGGCAAAAACATGTATGTCGAAACCCCCACAATCATTGCCAAAATCTGATAAAGAAAAAAAGTCATTTCCGCACGCGAATATTCACTGAAATTCTTTAATCTTATCATGGACGTCTAAAAAGACTTACTTGTCTGCCTTTCTAGCTTTCTCAAAGTCAAAACCACCCTTCACAAAATACAAGGAAAACCTGTTCATAGCTTAATGATCTCATAGACAATTAGCGACCAGAAGGAGTGGGCAACGTAGCTGTCAATATGAGGTAGATTGATGGCGCTGTTATTAGGCCGTTAGATTAGTTAATGCCCAGTATGATATGTACGTGTGTAGTCTGATACCATAGAATCGATTGTATAATTAATTTGTCCTTCAAACGGCTTTTTATTTCTCTTAATAGCGGAAGAAATAGCAATCGTTTTGCATTTAACACTCAAAAACCACATGAAAGTCTAGCGGTTTTCTCGAAATTAAATATTCCAATGTTTTACGATGGTGAAAGATTTTCAATCGTCATTTATATTTTCAATCGTTTATCATCGTCATGGTCATCATATGCATACCTTTAGAATAACAAATCATCTTTGTTTTCAGATAATGTTTGTTAACAGATCATCAACATCATCTTCATCATTGCTAATTATAAATCGTCATCATTTTCACAATTATTATCTCATCGCCAGCATCCACACTGACCAGTCACCACCACCACCACTACCAACACCAGCATCAACATCACCATCACTATCATTATACATTATCAACATCTATTATCATCATCATCATAATCACAATCATTACAATCATCATCATCATCACAATCACCACAATCATCACCACCATCACTATCACCACAATTATCACCATCATCATCATCATCATCACAATTATCACCATCATCACCATCATTACCATCATGACTATCATGACTATCATCACCATCATCACCATCATCACCATCATCGCCATCATCACCATCATCACAATCATGATCATCATCACAATTACCACAATCATCACCATCATCATCACCATCACCATCATCATCACCATCATCATCATCATCAACATCATCACCATCATCACAATCATCACCATCATCACCATCATCACAATCATCACCATCATCACTATCACTACAATCCTCACCATGTTCACTATCATCACCATCATCACCATAATGATGTGGTATAGACTTAACCTGGAAGCTGGTTGTCCTGTAGTTTTGGAAGGCTGTCATGAGAAAGATTCAATCCATTTTATTATGACAAATGCGGTTAAAAGGAACAAGGTGAAATGTAATTTATCGATACACTGAATATGCTAATCATATATTGAACATAACATATATTAAACATACAACTAGTATCCGTTGGCTCTGACCACGAATTTTCTAATGATATCCGGTTAATTTACGTTAATATGAGCCAACAAACTTTAGGTTTTTTTATGAGCAATTGAAACCACACCGGTGTCAAATCAAATGCATTAGTCAGATGATTCATTTTGGTAATGTGATGTGCTTCGAGGCATTACACATCGCACGGAAAAAACATTGCACTTTTACGGGGAATCTAACTAGAACAGGACACAGAATTTCGTTTTCCGCTCACTTTGAAAAGCCGATAAGATCTTTAATTCGCCGTCTCTTGGAGTGAAGAGAGGGTTAGGATCTTATAAAGATAAAAAGTCAGTCTGTCAAGATCGCACGACCAGTGCTGGAAATGGAATCGATTTTTAAAGGTAAAACCTTGATAAAAACTTTTAAACTCAAAAGATATAAACTTTGTTTCTTCAAGCTACTATTTCTCGGGCCAAAACAATCATGGTAAGAAACCTGGAAAAAAAAACTTTATAACTATTCCAAAGTAACAGATGTTAATTTTGTATCCTCACGCTAATATTTCTCGGGGGGAAAAATTGTGAAGCGAGAAAAATTGTTTTGTTTCTTAAGAAAATCATAGTTTTTACCACTCTTTTGAAAGCCAGTTGTGGTTTTGAAGAAGAAGCTAAAATAAAGTTATATCAATATCTAGTTTAGCTGCGTACCAACGTCTTTTTGGTCATCAATTATTCTTGAATTTTCTAACCAAGATTTCTTTTTCAATATCGGGGGGAAAGTTTAAACCAAAAGATGACACATTACAATAGAAATTTTCAATGAAGTGACATTTCCAACCACAGAGACGATTGAAACAACCTCAGCAAATGATCTTAATTTAATCTACAACCAAGTTAACTGATATTAGTAATTTTACTGGATTGAAGATTAAATAACAAGTTTAAATATCCAATGTTTGAACACCAAGGGGATAAATGGATTAAAATTTACCTACGTAAAATGATAAGCCTGACTGAATATTTCTTGACTCTTGAATCGAAAAATATTCTAAGTTGTTTTAAAAGTTAACTTGTTTTGTGTTATTTTCGCCAGAATAGTAAGCGAAGATGTAATGATCTTTCTCTCTCGACCATCTGTTTAATCTTTTGATATTTTTCGTCAACTTTCAAGGACTCAGTCATTTTGACAGAGTAATGTGTTGGATTATTTCATACGCCCGAGTTTATTTTGATAATTTCGGTTGAGTAATGGTTACAAAGTTTAGACGAAGCTTTTTTGCATCGATGACAAGTTAGAACTCGACTCTCTATTATAAAAAGACATTTGGACCTACAATTACAATGAAAAAACAAATTTGAAGTATCAGTCTATCTCCGCTAACACAAATTAGATTAAAAATATCAGGAAAAAGGCAAAGCATATACGGGTCGCGGTAAAAAGCTGAAACGGAAACAGCGGAAAGCTGCATGAGCTGAAAGAGCTGAAATAGCTGAAAAGTGCAGAAATGTCATAAATTCAACCTATTTCTGTACTTGAATTACTTTCATCACTCTTATTATCATGAAATAGCTGAAAGAGCTTTGATTTTTTCCTTTATATACTATGCCGAGGAAAGCCAAAAAAAACCCAACAACAACAACAACAACAACAGCAACAACAGCAATAGCAATACATCTAGTAGCTCAGTCCGAGAAGCGCTTGACAATGTTTTCATGAAATTATCGATGGCGACAATTTGGAAGATTCTTTTTCAGTCTTCGGTACACTAAGTATCACGATTTTAGTAGTTTCTTTGTAGAAAANAACCTCTGGGCTGATCTAAGTCAGGGCATGTCTAACTCACAGATCAAAATAAGATTAAGCTTCAATGTTACAGCTGTAAGTTTTGCAGGGGCAGGAAAACTGGAGAACCCAGTTTCATGTGTGTTGACTAAATCATTTCATCAGCAACTCCTTTGCCTACATGTACTTCTCTAAAAGGCAAATTATAGTAGATTATTAATTGTTTGATGCTCGTGTTTGCTTTCTACAGAAGCTCAGCAGTCAGATGTGACAAATGTTCAAATGTTTTGAGGATTACCTTCAGGCCTGCCATTATTCACCAGTATTCATCAACACTTGGGTATTTGGATCTAGAAGGGTAAGGAATTGAATTAGAAAATCCGGAATAATTTTCTAGATTGGGTCCAACAATAATAAAAAAAACCTTTGTGTGCATAGATATATTTTTACCACAGCTTTCATCCCTTGTTGATTTAGACAAAAGTTGAGAAAGGCTAAATAGCAGAAGAATACAATTATTCAATCAAGTATTTTTTAGAGTACAGTCCTCATGTACCTTTACATACTGAAGGGATTTAATATTTGATCGAGAGTGGTCTACTGCTAATTAACCTGTTGCAAAAGTTTTGTCATGCATAGCAATGAAAACCCTGGTAAACTTTAAATTGACTGTTCTTTCTAATCTTTGCTCTTTTGCCAGATGGCATCCTTTCGACCTGATCATGACAGAAATGCAGCTTACTGCTGGATGCCTTGCATGCTCCTCTGAGACAAGCATAAAAGTAAGAGACCTTTGATCTTTGACTATTATGCTTGATGTATGAATATAGAGAGTAGTATTGTCTGCAGATTTTTCCTTTCAACAGAATTTCAAATACAATTTTATTGGTTTTTTAAAGGACTTACTGTAAAATTCCTTTTGTTTCAAAAGTAAAAATATTAATTTTAAGATTTTTAAAATGTTGTTTCTCGGTTGACAAAAAGTATTACTAATAAAATAATGATATGATTAAGTGAATTAATGTTTTTTTCTAGGGACCCCATTATGGAACAAACCAAGTATGGTGTGGTAAATGTCACCAAAAGCTTGCCTTCAAGGTGGAATCGACAAGATTCTTTGAACTCACACCCACTGGTGTACAAGGTGTGTAATGTTTGTAATATATCAAAACAATGGGGACTTTAGTAAATATCCCCTTTTGAAATGCTAGATGTCATATGAAGGAGACTCCCATGCCTGAATAGGAGATAAAGACTTTTTAACTATATTGACATACTAAGTAAGGACACACAACAAACAATTTAGCAGTCATTGTTTAATGATGGATACTACCTTGGTTAATGATGGATACTACTGGGCTACCAGTAATGTATGCCACCCTCATTAAATAAAGTTATATTATTATTATTATTATTATTATTATTATTATTATTATTATTCGTTTCATGTTAGATTCAAGTAGACGATTGTAAACTACCTGCAGTGAGGTTTATGATTGTATATTGCAAAAAAAAAAGCTATAATAAAGTTTCCATTATTGATTATTATTTCGTTCCCGAGAAGGGTCTGACATTCTAAACAAAGATATAGCGGTTGATTCGGCTTTTTCATAAAAGTATTGGCCAAAGTTTGGATAGCCAAAGATTTTGCCAATTTGAGACCGCGACCAGCTGCCTGCACGGCCGTATGATGACGGTTCATACCTATAGTATCACAATCTTTTTCAAATTATCTTTTTATATACAAATGTCAAACCTCCTTTCTTTGAGAACTTGAAGACAAAAATAAAAGTAAAGCTACTAGAATAAACGAAGCTACTGAAAGGGACTGTGGTATTTGAGRTGSCTAAYTTCATCATGCAAAGGGTTTTGTACACTCAACTAAAATACTTACGACATGTACACATGTCAAAATACCTTCCATTTAGATAAGCAAACAGTTTTTTTGAAAACGGCGAATGTAGAAGGTGAAGGCAGGGCCATTTTATGTAAAAAATATGTTCCGTGAAAGAGTCCCAGTATAATGACAKGGCTTTAAACTGTCTTCGCAGTAGGCGAGCGACGTTATGTTGACCAATGAGCAGCCCGTTGCTAAGAAAAGGTGCTTGGTCTTCCAGAAAAAGGAACTTGATCAACGTCACAATATAAAATTGGACTTCTTAGTGGCTGTTCAGTATCAAAGAAATATTTTCAAAGCTGACCATTCACCGAGCGGTCCGGCACTGAAGCTCTTCTAGCCAGGATCAAAATCTGAGCAGCACGATAGAAGGCTTWACAAGAAATCTCTTTGCATGGACTTTATTTAATTTTATTTATCTTCTAATACTATGTAGAAATTTTATTTTTTGGTAAAGAGAATGCGTGACATTGACCTTGCTGGTCGGTCCATTKGCTGGTATCTCTGCAGTTAACATATTTTTCATAWTTTTTATTTTTGTTTAGTTTGACATTATTTATATTATATCATCTTTCATAATATTTGTCTACTGATTATTATCTATGATAATAAGAAGTTCTGCGCTTTTCTGCACTTTTAAGCTCTTTCAGCTCTTTCAGCTCTTTCAGCTCTTTCAGCTCTTTCAGCTCTTTCCGTTTCAGCTTTTTACCGCGACCCAGCATATACAAACTTAAAAAAATAAAAGATTTAAAACGGAAAACAAACAAAAATTATGATTGAGCCAACCGATGTTCCTAATCCTTTGTCTTCACAATAAATTAAATTGCACTGTTATACTAAGCATTTTATGAAAATTTATCATTATTATTCTTTGAATTGGTTTCATAATGACTTATTTTGAATTTGAGGAAAGGAGGAAATCCCCTAGGCTCGTAATAAAGTGCTTTGCTTACTTATTTCTTGATACAAATCATACTTCCTGTGGTGAAAATCGATACGGTTTTCTTGACAATGGATGTGGAGCAGCACATTAACAAACTTCTATGTATTTTCAGTTTTTGTTAAGAATTCAAATATTTGTAGTTGTCTTCCGTAGCGATTGTTTTTTCCGCCAAAGATGCAGTTTAATTTTCTACTTATTTCTTCGCTTTCATAGAAGTTTCTTTAGAAAAACTTCGATCAGTTCCGTCAGGGTATGGTCCGTATGGATAAAATATAGCGCGGGATCCGGGAAACTAGAAAACGTCTTTCGTGATTGCATACGGCAACGGCTGTGACTCGCGAATTGCCGAGTTCAATGTCCGGGATGTGGCAGGGATTTTGCTTTATGATTTTCGGGAAAAACGTGAAAACATTAATAAAAAAAACATATTCAAACGCCTTTGACTATGATGAATTTGGTCGTCGCTTACAACTATCGCTGGATTTCGAGGGGAAATAGCGCGTGATTCGGGATTCGGACCTTCTTCCCGTAGACCCTGTTCGATTTGTCTTGCGAAATTTAACTTAGAACTCCTCTAAATCCGGCTTCTTTCTTGTTTCTTCTTTGATTCCTTCCTTCTTTTGTATATTTACTTTTATTTATACGTCTATTCGCTTCCTGGTGGACTTCTTTAAGTAGGTTTTTCTTTGATTCGTCGTCTCCTTTGAATATATTTGCTGTTCTTTTAACAGCCCTCTTCTTAAATTCTCTTAAGTCACATCTACCCGATAACAAGATCTATAATCAAACAGGAAGCCTTTGAAATTCCGAGGGCAATGGTTTCTAATCTTTCAGTATTTTTTAAAATAAACAAACAACCCCTGTTTTTGAAATTTTTTATTTTTTATTTTAAGCAAAAACCAGCTCAATGGTCCCCTCCACAGTTCCCTGCGCCATCTTGAAAGGTAGCCGTGCCTTTGCATCGAAGCGAGACGAACGGTGAGCTTGCAATGATAGAGACCTTGTTCAAACGCCTGGGAGAATTATTTAGGTCTCTATGATCGCAAGCTCACCGCTTGATGCACAGGCATGGCTACCTTTCAAGATGGCACCGGAAACTGTAAAAGGGACTATTAAGTATTTCACAAGTATCTTTAATACTGTCGTCTAGCGAAAACCAAGCAATTAAGATTTTTCATTCCTTATACTGCGAGTTGTTTGATATTTAAAAAAATTAGTATTTCTCAACCGCTATTAATTTTTATTCTTTCTTTTTCGTAGTATTTGTTTATTTGCTGGTAGGACAGTTAGCAAGCAACTTATGTAGTAAGTACTTATCTGTTGTTGAAACCGAACGACCGAACGACCGAACGACTGATAAATCAATATAAAGCATGTGCATTTGGTCCGTGAATGTTACGTCATAGCCACCATCTTGGATGACGATAACAAAGCATTCCTCATAAGCTTCTTTTGTTAGATCAACCAAAATGGCGGCTGTTTCATCGTTATTCATGAATATCTCAAGGGATTTTGAGTCACATGGTTTCACATACTGTATTCTACTTATCAGATGCAGCACTGCCGTGCGCAGTAGACGTGGCGTTCCTAGTCGACAGTTCGGCCAGCATTGGACATCACAACTACGAAAAAGAAAAAGCTTTCGTCAAAGAAACTGCGTCTCTTCTTGGAATTCCAACACACAGCCGCGGCGCTGTCATCGTCTTTGGCGACGACGCTAAGCTTAGTATTGATTTCCACCAGGCCAAGACACGGCAACAGTTCGATAATCTAGTCCAAAATATTCCATACATGAGCAGAAGAACGCGCATTGACAAGGCTTTGATTTTAGCCGCGAAGGAAGTATTTCCTAAGGCGCGAAAACACGTTGTCAAAATTGCATTAGTGATAACGGATGGTAAACTAACCAAAATGCGTGATACGATACCATTACTGAATGTCTCGCGGCCCTTGAGGGAAAATGGGGTGCGTGTTTTAGTAGTTGGGATTGGGATAAACGTTAATAAGAACGAGCTGGAAGAGATGGTGGAAAAACCAGAGGATATGTTTTTGACTGATAATTTTGATTCCTTGACAAGACGAGTGCAAGAAATTGTCAACTACACTTGTAACAACGCTGGTAAGTCTTTGATTTATTGTCTAGGTGTCTGTGTTGGTTTATGTGAAGTGATGGCGGCTCGCGCGACGTCTGTTTGCTTTTGTGTCGCCTCTGTATTTCTTTCTGTTTGACGAGGACAGGCTATCTGTCTGGAAACCTATTTATTTGCTTGTCTGAACGTGCTTCCTCCATTCATCCACCCATCTACCCATCTATCCATCTACCCATCTACCCATCTACCCATCTATCCATCTACCCATCTATACACATCTACCCATCTAT